CATATCTCTGTTTTCTTGCCACCTAAACAGGTTCAAGAAAAAGTCATTGTGCTCCTGTGAACTGTGAGACGCGATTTAAAAAAACCTTGTTTGAAATTCTGAGCTGAGAGGTAATACAGAAATACAACAGATTATTCTTAACATATCATTAAACTATGGGTTCTGCATCAACCAGACAATGAATTATGGCAGCTGGGGAGCAGGGCCCATTTATCTCTATGAGCTCTCCCACTTCCCCAAGATGCATAGACAACTTTGTAAAATACATTAAGCTCTTCCACTGAAAGCTGTGGGTATCGTGTACCAGAAACATTTTCAGATATGTTACATACATATAACTCCAGTATTGAGGCAGAACTTGGATAGAAACGTGTCCTTCAGATAGCCTACTATAGAAACAATAGAACTTCTTCCTCTGAACTACCCAAATTCCTACAGCTCCCTTTGCTGCTTTGGAAAGCGTTCCAGCTTTCAATAGGCATTGGACAGACAGAAACCTGAAACTTGGGAACTCCCATGCAGGTGGCAGATAGACGGCTCACAGTTCCAGACAAGATAATTTATTCTGACATTCCCATTAGTAGATCACATTAATAAGACTCGCTCTCTAAGCCATTAGCATCATTGTGACACAGTAAGCCCTCTGCATATGCAAATATATGTATTTGGGAGCAACCGTTTACCAGTTGTTAATTAAGTGGCCAGCAAAATGAATCTTCCATCTGGCAGCAATGTGCCAACATCATTGTCTCAAACTGTAATTAGTGATTTAGGATCAGCAGACTATCATTGCAATAATTGTCAAGGAATCTATTCTCCTTAGCAGCAAATTGACCTTTTTGTTCATGCACTGTACAAACTAGCTCTCATTGGTTGAAAGAACCACTTCTAAAGACGCTGCCATCAATAATATACCATATTTATTGTTTATGTATCAGTTTAAATAAACTTCTGAACATCATCATAAAAAGCGTTTGCTGAGTTGATTGTCAGACAGTAAGTCTTAAACAGCAATAACCTGGGGGCCTAGGAAGCATTTGTCTAAGTTCAGAGCTACAGAGATGGCTGAACTTGCAAAATGGCTTACAAGAAGTTAAGGATCTACAAGTCTTCCATTTGCCAGAAGTCTTTGGTTTGACTCCTACTTCAAAAACTTGCAATTTAAAACTTCAATTTCAGAGAAAAAGATGTTTTGTCCAAAACTGATGTGAAGAAGTGCAGAGAGTAAATCTCTCTCATCTTTCTAAAACATAGATAGTAGAATCCAGTTCAGCCTTAGTAAACTTCATTACATTTCCAGAACATGTTTTTTCATGAACATTTTATTAGAAGCATGACCTACCAGTGAACAAATGGATATAGAAACCTCAGAGATTTAAGAGGTGAGGCTAAAAGAGCCTTAGGAAGTGAAGTTTATTTGCAGCTACAGCCACATACAAAATGCTACCCAGTTCTGGTCTGAGACAGTCATATGCCCAATAACGCATATCACACTGAGTATGTTTGCCAGAGGTGGGAATAGGAACTGAATGTAAAAGCTGCTGCTCTGTTTCAGAGAGAGAGGATATGCACACGAAGTGATTCCTATTTATGAAATATGCAATCATCTCAACAGAACATCATCTCGACTAGATTTCTGGTCTGTGGTGCTAAAGGCTATCAGCTCCGTGGTAAGATGGGGGTGGGAGAGCCCCTTGAGGATGATCTTAATTTGCCTTATTACATACAGGCACAAATAGGTTAATGACGGATCTGAACAGATGCTCTATATTGCTGTAAATAAATCTGGATTCACATGTTGCCCTTTGATCCTATTCCAACTTAAAATATATAAAAGGTGCTTTGCTTTTTTTTATTTTAGAAGTATGAACAGATGCAACACTTTGGGTAAAAGCACTGAGGCACTGACACTAGCTGTGTACAGTGCGTTGCTCAGCAGTCACTCAGAGACAAGGACTCTGATGAAGGTTTGCTCTCTCCTATGTCTGAGTCGTGACTAATCAGGTCCGTGTAAGATGAGCTGTGAAATATAATCACACATTTTACCTTGTGTAAGAACCTTTTGCAATGTATTTCTCTGTGTGGTCCTTCCTTAACCAAATATAGGGATAACTTTCAATAATATCATATAGAATTCCTAGTGCTTATAAATCAAACTAATGAGAACGTTTCAATATGCCTTTTTAACCTCATGATTTAGCACTGGCAGGAACAGATAAATCCCATATATCATACCAAGAAGTCCTGTTTACCTTGACAGCTGGGGCTGATCCAAGTTCTTTCAACAGCATTAACTCCATTTTGCACCCTGAGACGAAGGCCTGATGGTTACACTCCACATTTCCTCTGGGACTAGAAAGCTGTGTGGTTTCTGTTTATTTACTTGCTTCAATTACATTGACCTGTACAATATCTAGCTCTGGACAAAACATCAATATTCTTCTGTTAAAGGCTTCTTGAAATATCCGTGAATAATGGCCCTATCTTCTTTTCTATTTATGTGCTACACCACTTGGCTTTCGTTAACTCTTGTGACATACAAACTACTGGTCTCTGATTTTGACAGAACCAAGGACTGAGCAGATACTCTGCTTAGTGACACGTAAGAGTGTGCGCAACATAGCTTTGTGGTTACAAAACTAGAACGTTAGGATCAACTTAAATAACTCCTTCAATGTCTCAAATTCTTTATTCAGACTGGCCTCTTCTGCCCGTTGGACTCTCTCACAGGAACCCCACATTCAGGCACAAATTTCCCTCCACGGTACACAACTCCAAGAAGTCTTTGTATCTCTTCCTTGCCAGCTGGGATAGTGAGACAAACAGCTTTAGTTGAACAATCATTTCCCAGCACCTCTATATTAATTCTCCCAGATGCGTTAATCCTGTTATACAGACTTGCACAGTTGCCTAACTTTCTTCTAGCAGACTCAATGCTTTTCTGTGTTGAGGACTGCAAAGAGCACCTAGTCACATTTTACCAGCATTTTTCCCTTGACTCAAATGCCTTTTACACAGGCTGAATATTCACCATCAAATGCATTCACTTGCCCAGCACAGAGCCCTTGGTGCCACCCACAATACAACCTCAAGCCTGGAGAAGCAATCTCCAACCAAAACAGCAGTGACACATGTAGAAACAGAGTTTTTCTGACAGCTTTCACTAGAATTCTCTTGATATATCAAGCAAAGAAAAGTAGCTATCATAATCTTTCCAAAAAGGTCGCTCTTGAACCTTTCACCAGCCCTTGAAAAAATCCGCAAATTCTTTTCTAGACATCTACCTACCCTCCAGTGGATGTTCATCCCTGATCAGCTCCATGGCTTGATAGGACTTCTAACTCAACAAGCATTACTTTCTCCTCCTCCCCTAGACACTACTTCAATTTTGTGTCTTTCCAAATTGCAGTCGAACTACCTCTCTAGCTGCAGAATGACCACAGTAATCTCTCAGGCTTGTCCATGGTTTTGGCATCGTGTTAGCTCACACACCGGTGTCAGGCTTAAACCTCATGAACATTACAGTTGCTTTTGGATGCTAACCCACACACCTTCAGCTGTGATACTACCTACTGATCCTCTGCAGAACCTCTTGGAGCTAATCTTCTTTTCTTTTTGCTCACACTATGCACGTGCTTCCCAAGTGGCATATTTCACTCAGCTATCAGCATCTGTTTTTAAACATGGCACTACTTTGTTTACAGCCACGTGTACACCTCCCTGTGGCAGTGGTTGCGAGGCAAGCTAGGAGGCATTCTGCCCAAACTGCATTTCTCTGTGATATAACGATATACATTTCACAGTACCACAGCTCTGCTCCCTCCTCCTTCTTTAAACTTCAGCAAGGGCTAATTCTGTGCCCTACAGTTGCCTTTTCCAAGCATTTTGCCTCAGTTATAAGTTATGATTTAGTGTCTTAAGATGGGCTCAGTTAATACCCAAAACTGACAAGACTGAATCTTCAGCCTTATATTAGCCTTCCATATTTACATTTTGGTTTTCTCAATTTAGAAGAGTGAACAAACATGTTCCTTTTCACAGGGGATTCTTCAAATTCCTGTAGTACAGCGTCATAGTTGTCCGTGTCCAGTTAAATTAACTAATAGCTACTAAAACATCAAATGCTTTCAACTCACTTTATAAGAAATCTATCTCTGTCTTACAGTCATCCTCTTTGGTTGCATGCCACTGCTTGCACAGAGAGGATGAATGCTATTTAAGCTTTCTTGGGCTGCCTTGAACCAGTCTGTTGGGTCTTTCAATTGCTCTGTTCTTCCACTGGAAGTGACAGTTTGGGTTTTTGCTGGCATCATGTTGTGATCAGCACTGCTTGGATTCAAGAAGTGAGACAAGTCCTTGTGAAATTTCAGCCTCCAAGTTCAGGCTGCTCAGCACTGTACAGTGACCGGCCTTTCTAAAGCAACAGTTGACTTCATTGTTTTTCAGAGTCTTCTGAAGTTACAGCTTTTTTAATTGTTCACTACCAAATGTGCTAAAATGCTAAGGCTAAATGTGGCCTAATCTAAAACATCTTTTATCTGAGTTCTGTTCCTTCCTTGACAAGCAATTGCTACCTTGTCAAGTTGGGGCAACGATTTGAACATATACAATTAAAATGACTTGATCGTGTTTCCAAAATCATTTTCATCTTTGATGTGGAGCAAGAGAAGGATTCTGTGATATGTAAAACTCAGGACATAATCATATCAAAAGTATTTACTAGTTACGATATACCCTCTTGAGCTCTCCCCTTCTTGCATAAAAATAAGTACAACTCTTAAAGCACCTTTTTCAGAGCTACAAAGTCTCCCAAATGAAGGACTGTAATACTTCCATGATATTGCTGTAAGTAGAATGATACAACCAGAGTGGCTAGACAAATGATTGGAGATTTAACATCTGTAAAGTGTATCTTGAAGGTTGTCACTGAAAGTGTTAGTGAGCTCTTGCTCTAATCCATCAAAGTCAACTACTGTAAACTTCTAAACACCCACAAGTAAAACAACAGAGTTCACTGAAATTTCACCTGTGTGGGTAAATGACCCGTTTAACCAAGGGCAGAACAACTCGGGTAGCTCTGATTCACAGTGTAAGAACTGTCTCCCTTTCTTCACGCATTCATCTTTAGACTGGCTTTTGACAAAGCAAGATTTATACAACTCTGATGCACTTGTGTCTGTATTGCTATCTATCCCTCAGCTGCTTTTGAACCCACCAAATAACTTCCATGAGCGGAACATGAAAATAGACCAGACAGCAGGTAGATGCCAGTGACATTACTCTGCTCTCATGAAAAAAGAATTCTGAGGATGAGGTCACACCTCCACAGATACCAAGAAATCCCCACAAAAGAACAAGTTCAGATGTTTATATCCATAACAAAGGAAGTTTCATTCTGTCTAACTGCTCACAGAATTCTTGTTTCTTGGAAGAGCTGCTTTTATTGCTGTAATCATCCTCTCTGTATACATGATACTTTCTGTACTGTACTCACTACTTTTCAAAATTTCTTTTGTTCCCTATAGTATTGATCAGCTCACAGTCTATTTACAGCTGAATTACACCTCTCCCTGTCTTTGTTAAAGATCCGTATGTGAAAATAGTCAATCAAAACAGAACACTGAGAAAAAAAGATATCCCTATCACAAGAGGCAATAACGTTATTACAGGAAATAACTTATCAATAGCATTTATGGTCTTTGAATTTAATTAGTACGTAGTGTAGCAGCCTTTTTCTAATTAGTCATAATAATAACTCACTATAAGAGCAAACTAAATTTTAAATTACGTTTCTAAAGACTGCTAGAGTAATTAATACAAAAAGATAAAGTATACAAAAACAAAGCAGTACGAACTGTACAAGCAATTCCTTTAATTTTGACTGGTAAAATTAATCTAGAACTGAAAATCTTACAGCTTCAGAGATCATGCTGCAATGTCAAACTAAGAGCTTCCTGGGGATATCCGAGATATTTAAATAGTTAGGTAAAGTTAGGGAGAGTGCTGCGTTGATGATTTGCTTGCAATCTGAGTCAGCCGTGGCAGCAAATAACATTCATATCTAATAAAGTCCATTATTCATCCCAGTAATGAATTGAGCAATTTCATTTGGATGAGATCAAAGGCCAAGTATTTAAAGGTATTTAGACGCCTAAGGAAGCATACAGACACCTAATGAGATTTAGGAATTCAAATACTTTGAAAAAACTGGCCCTATGTGTTTTGTATCACAGAAGCAGTCACCAGTCTATTAAACAAATATTCTCATACAGACTATTTCAATTTAATTAAATCAGGTGCAATTATGACTCCTCTAGCCTTTCTCCAATTCAAGAACACGGAGATTTGCAATAGCTGAAGCTGAACTAATAATCAGTCAGCGTTTTTAAGTGCATAATCTGCTAATGGCATATATTATTAAAAGGACACAAGAAACAATAATAGCCATTACTGAGAAGGAAGATTTTCAATATAATTTGTACACAAATGCATGTATGGGAAATATTAAATCTCTAAATAATAGAATCATAGAATCATAGAATCATAGAATGGTTAGGGCTGGAAGGGACCTTCAAAGGGCATCTAGTCCAACCCCCCCGCAAGGAACAGGGAT